AGACTAGGAGGAATTGAGAGGACTCTTACTAATTTCAGTGGTCACAAAGGTGGAACTATTAGAGACAGTACTTCTCAAGATGAAATATTGATCCTAATGTAGTATGCAGAAAGTGCTTGTAATAATGAAGAAAAAGAGCTTGATCATCCCATCAAAAGATGAAATGGTTTTTCTGGGAGACTAGAAAATTTGCAGCAGGTGTGCAATACTTTAGCTTTCTGGTAAAATGGATTTTTGAATAACCAATCATCTCTGAAAACACATCAGTTATTCTGGAAGATAGTGACTTTTATTTGGAAAGCAAGATCACTTGGACAATAGGACAATATTCTGCAACTGTTCAAGGCAGCTTTTCAAGGCAACTTCCCTAAGCAGGCAAGAAAACAAGAGAGCTGCAGCTGGGAGAGCACCTACATTGAGCACTTTTTGTACAGGAATCACTGAAATGATGGCACTTGCAATTTAGCTTCTCAGGAATAAAATGGAGTTTACCATAGACTTCAGTTTGTCTAGACCGGTAATAAGTCTGCAGTCCTTCTACTTAAATTAGATTATTTATAGTTTTCTGGTACATTCTCTCCTGATTTTTGAGATGGGAGAAGAGTATTTCAAAACACTCTTAATAAAGAGCAGCAGCAAACCAAGCAACGTACCTATGCAAGGGAAGACGCTTTGTTAATTAGAAGTTTTTAACATAAAATATTATGGACTTCATGATGTAATTAAAAATGTGTCATAAAAAATTACCTTTAGGACTTTAAAGGACTTCTTAGATGTCTGAGATTTCTCTGGGTCTATTATGACTAACTACACACATCATTAAGCCACTGTTTTCTTAAATAGAGTTGTTGTCTCAGGATCTAAGCTTTTTCTTTTTTTTAAATGCATGACAATCACAACCAACCTGTTATAACAGCTACATTACTTAACCCCCCAACTAATCTGTACATAATGCATGCTAATTATTGAAGCATACATTATTGAAGCATTTATAGAAAACTGTTGGTCAATCAATTTTTAATGTTGAAACTGCATCAAATGCATTATCCTGATTTGGGAGTCTATTAAGACATACTTTATTTCTAGTGTTACATTTCATTAGTTGTTTTGTTTTATGAAACTACTAACAGTACTATTTAAAGTTCTTTTTCCCGTGATAATTATTATTTATTAATAAATATTCCTAATCAAGAACACATTAGGAGTGGGGCCTACTATGAAAAATCCAGACTGATGGGTGACCTTAGTAAAACCATGCCCGAGACTGAGCTTAGTAAAGTGAAAATATTAACTTTGTCTCGCATAAGACTGTATTTTGTCCCTCCAAACATTGCTGTGAAAAGCCATTCAGAAATCACTTTAAAATATTTGTTTCCAATTTTACTGGCCACCATTAGCACAAACACTTTTTGCTTATTTTTACTTCTAGTGTTTTGTGCTTGTAGTGTGCTAAATTTTGCTGTCTGCCAGGCGTTCACCAGCTGACCTCTCACTTCATCCCCTCAGCAAAAATGTGAGAAAATAAGACTAAATAGTCTGTGGGTCAAGACACAGACAGGGGGATCACTCACCAATTACTGGCATCAGCAAAACAGATAGAACTCAGGGAAGATCAATTTAATTTCAGAAAAAAATAGAATTAGATGGTGAGAAACAAGGACAGAACAGAAACACCTTTCCCAAACTCTGCTTTCCTCCAAAGCTGAACTTCACTCCTTTGTTCCCAGCTCTTCTACCTCCTCTCCCTGTCCCCAAGCAGTGTAGAGGAATGGGGGGGCCATGATCACTCCACATCCTTTCTTTTGCGCTGTTCCTTCCTTCTCCCCCTTTTCCCTGCTCCTCCATGGCCCTTCCCACAGGATACAATCCTTCAGAGGCTGCTCCGCGTGATCCTTGCACAGCGTGTGGAACACACGGCTCCAGAGCGGGTCCCTCACTGCCCACAGCTCCGGCCAGAAAAATGGTTCATTCATCGTTGGAACCCCGGCCTGGTTCAGGGGTCCCGTGTGGTGCTAAAGTCTCTCCTCCAACCCGTGCTTCCAAAGAAAACTCAGCAGCCTCTTGTTCGGTCTCATGGTTGTTTATTGTAAGCTATCTAAAAGATTGTCTTCTTGGGCTGCTGCAGTTTGCTCAGCAGCTCAGGCAGAGGCACATGCACCCCTGACACCCTCACTGCCTGGTGTCTTCTTGTCTCTCCCCGCCCAGGGCTGCTGCTATCTTTTATATGATATATTATGTGATACATGTTTGCAGTTTTTCCCCAATACCTACTACCTATATTAAATGGTGCTTTTCTATTCTAAACCAATCCATAAGTGCCAACATCATCAAGAACATGGAGGTAACGAAGAAGAAAGAGGAGAAACAGGACCAGCCTACATTCCTCCATCTTAAAACCTCTGACCCCCATGTACAAAGTAAAAACCCCCCTGTACAGGTGCTGAAACCCCCTTGTACAATACTAAAAAATTCTTCCTTCTACTTCGTAATTACTTCTACTATAATATCTAAACTTTTGTGACTTCTTGTTCCACCTTCAAAGTTGATAAATCATTCCATGGCTCAAACTCAAAATCACAGCTGTTTCCAGCTGCCTGCCAGGGTCTCAAATGCCTCCGACCAGGGCAAATGTCTGAGGGACATTTTGAGTTCCAACAATTCATGGGCTCCCCATGGCTGCAGCTTCCCCCAAGGCACAGCCACCTGCTCTGGGAGTGGGGTCCATGGGTGGATGTTTTCTCCAGCAGGTTCCACCACAAGCTGCGGAGACTGCTCTGCCTGGCATGTGTAGCACTTCCTCACACTTCTTTTCTGACCTTGATATCTGCAGGTTATCCCCCACATTTTTTTTTCAGTCCTTTCTCACAGCTGCTGCACAGAATTTACCTTTTCTTAAATACGTCTTGTCTGAAGGTCTCAGCTTCGGGCAATGGTGGGTTCCTTTCAGAGCCAGATGGAAGGAGCTCTGTATGACACAGAGGCCACTCCCAAAGCATCCCTCTCATTCTCACTGCCAAAGCCTTGCCACTGAACCAAATACAGCTCTATTTTGTGCTTTCCCACAGCAAGAAACCAGACTATGATTCCCTCACAAGAGGGGGAACTGCTCCATTAGTCAAGCTCTGCAGAACTGTCCCTTAAAGCTAAATACAAGCTGTACTTGTTAGATAGAAGAGCAACAGACAAATCAAAATTACATGCTAACCTCCCTCAAGCTTAAGTTAATACTGAACTAGATAAATATATTTCACTAAACTAAATGAATTTTTTCCCTGCAGTCAAATGTCTAGTACTCTATCTTTTGGTAAATGACTGCAGAGAGGTTTTGTGAGGCAAAATAAAGAGGTCCTTGATTCTAACAGTGTTTAGTGAGATCACTGAATCTTCTGTCTCCTCTACTCAGTATTTTGAAGTCTTTTGCAACTTTTGTAAACAGTTCTAGTAATCCTTTTGTAGGAAAGGAAGCACAGTTTGCACAGTTTCTCTGAGGCCAGAAAGTGAGTCAGCAGTAGGGAGTCAGGAGTTCAGAGCCACAAAACAGTATCCAGTTACTTCCCTGCCACAGTCCAGCATTTGGAAACAGTTTGTGCCAGACCATGGATTCATTAATATTAATGATTATTTCAGGAATAAGTTATTCTGAAAATTAATAGAGACAACATCCAAAGCCACTATGTGATTTGATTTATTAATGGACAATGTTCCTTAAATTGGCACCACATAGCAGAAAATACTGCCATCACTGAATGCAATTTTCACCATTTCAGTTTTCATAGCAAGTTAAACTATTGAGATTAAAAGTTGTGAAGTGGGAAAAGACTATATTTTCCCTTAGCTAAACAACAATCCTTACACTTAATATCTTAGCTACATATGACAATGAGAAAGCAGTGATAAATTCTAAGCCCCACAAGGATACTTGCTGATACATAACTGAAGTGGTATATTAATCACATTAAGACCTCTAATAAACCTTGGGCATCAAGTCAAAAATATGCTTTGTACTTTGGTTTTAAACTTTTTTTTTTTTACTTTTAATTAAGTAGCTTGTGCCTTTAGTTCAAGTGTGATTTCAGGGAAGAAGCAGACTGAAATGACTGAGAATTATATTTCTGCCAGATAGGAATTATCATAGGAGGTTTTCTTCACATTTAAAATTCAGAAATACCAACATTTCCAAAATTGTGAATACCTACCTCTCCGAACACCTCACTGAAAAAAATTGCAGCTCGAAGTCCAATATTCCTGCTTTTATCTTCCCTCCTCTGTAGGGAAGGGATTCATAATGTTTCCTACAGCATATTTCAAAAGAGTTCAGGAATTTAGACTCTGCTTTTTCCTTTCTCCTTGGATAGAAGGGCTTTCTCCTGAAAGAATCGGAAGGTGCAAGAAAACTTTCATGGTTTATGAAAGGAAGGAAATGAAGTAATGATAAACTGCACACACATGAAAGCTACTAGATTCTTCATTCTGGTCATGAAGAAAGCAACTTTGCTCTGTTTGCAGAACATGAGCACTGCCTGAGTCAATAAGGTCTCTTACTTCAGTGAAAATTCCTTTTTTGGTAACCAGAGAGTAGGACTTGGTGCATTGTTAGTAAGTGATGCAAAGCAACAGGCAAAAAGAGTCAGTGCAAACAAAGAGGCAGCAAACACTTTTCACACCTTCTGCACCTCACTGCTCCCAGCCTTGTCTGCAACAGCAACAAGTACAGGTTATGTGAGTTTATGGGAAATAAAACTAAAGTTAAAAATGCCAAGTGGAAAAATCTAGCTGCTTCTCTGCATTCCTGCAGTTAAAAGCCTGTGTTTTCAGTTTTTCTGTTTCTTGCTAGATAATGTACAGCACTTGTACATAGTTTTCTAAAAGGCAGATAATGCCAAAGTTTTTATTTGATGCATATGATATACAGCTGAAGTAAAAGCTCTTCTTCCCAAGCATTCTGTTAAAAAAAAAAAAATCAAACTCATTCCAACTCACAGAATTACAAACTCCTCCAGTTTGACTCAAAGCCAAAACTTTATTTCCAGATAGAAGTTGGTACAGTAGAAAAAAAAAATCACCTCCCAATATTAAGCCTGTGAAAGATCCAGATTCAGAAGCAATGAAACAATTTTAGAAACAACTTCTAGGACACTTCTCCCATTCTGAGAAAGTATCAAAGCTGAGCTAATTTAATTCAAAATGCAAACAGCTGAACAGAGGGAATTGCTCCAAGATGGAGACTGCTGCACACAGGAACTTCAGCAGATCAAGTTTTAAGTGTTAAGCTGTTGAAAGAGCAGCTGCTTAAAAACATTGCACATTCATAGCAGGTTAGCTTTTCAGATCACTGCTGGATTCCCAGATAGTGCCACAGGAAACCATGATGTGTTAGTGCTGTAACAATTGCCTCTGGCTAGAGAAGGCTGTAATTTAGGATCTGCACTGTTCAGACATGCACAAACTTTTGTACTACAGATGTTGAAGAAGCAATTCAAACAAAGCAACAATGAGATATTCCAGTTGTTTTACCTTCTCTTAATGCTGGTGTTCCCACCATAGGCAACAAAAATATTCACAGAAGCATTTAAGAGAATTTGCTTTCAAGAGGTGTGCTTGTTTTAATAGAATAAGTGGTCCTTAAAAGCTGAAAAAATTAATTACCATGTCCATGTAAAGGCAGTTAAAATGCAATTCCTTGACAGGGAAAGAAAGACTTTGGCCAACAATTAACGTGGCAACAATCATTTACGCAGGGGGTGTCAAGAAAAATACAGATAAAACAACGAGGTTATATCAAAACGGGAACTTTCTCATTACTCCCAGAATAGTTTATTGTTTTCTTCTGAAGGACACGTGACAGTGCTGCAAGCTCCAGGCATTCTCTCCTGTGAGAAATTAGGAAAGAACAAGTCCTCCCCTTATCTGGAGCAGTATGACCTCTGCCTCCTCCAGCAAATGCTCAGAAGTAGATGGGAAACAACAGGAATTAGGAAAAAAGACAAAGTTTTTCTTAGCTGTCTATATATTTGTAATACCATCACTTAAGAGATGGGCAGAGACCGACCAAAAATTGTATCCATCAGTCCCCTTTAGCACTTGGGTTTAGGCTGCCTTTCCTCTCAAATGTGATCTGAAATATGCAGCTCAGACTGGCATAGCCACACTCAGAGTGGGAAGGAAAAAAATAAGCACATGAAGGTGAGACTTGCAGCTAAAAGCAAGAGCAATTTTCCCATATATCAGTGACCTTTGAAGTGAACAGACCCAGCGAAGAGGTCAGAATAGATACCACCAACCATGATACTTCATCTTTTCCACCTTTCTGCTTCTCTTTTAGCAGATCAGGTCAGTGCAGCTGGTGCACACAGTTAATGGACTCCTGTCTCAGAGGCATGGCAAGAACTATGGGGTCTATAGTGGTCTTTTCCCTTTCACTCCCACCGATTTCCTCCCCTGCCCCACGTGTTCTCTCTGCACTAGAGCTTCTCTTACTAGGTGGCACCTACTGTCAGGACAGAGCTTCTCTTACTAGGTGGCACCTACTGTCAGGACAGATACATTTCCTGCATTTGGTATCACCTTAACAGCTTTCAGCCTTCCTCAAGTTCTTCATGTGCAAGCAAACAAAAACTTCAAAAGCTACACCTGTGAACAATCAAAAACTGGGCTTTTTTTCCTTCACCAATGTGAGTCTGCATTTTGACACAAGATGCCTAAGGGTACTTCTTCCCCAATCTTTCACACTGTTGAGGAAAAGCTTACTGAACGCTGGGCATAGCACCAGTTCAATAAACTGCAAGAAGCATTACTTTGTCCTCTGATACAGCTTGTCTTGGGAGATTATAACACTACAAATATTCACTTTAGAGCATACACATATGTTATGCAAGATTAGGCAGTGTCCTACTGCTCTCTCTGAAACCAAGGGCAAGAAAATATCCAGCATCGTGTACCATACATGTACCTCAGGCCCAACTTGACAGCTAGTGTTATCTTGTAACAGCAAAAACTACAGAAGTGGTGGTTTAACCCCTGAAAAAAGCTTCAGCAGGTTCCTTACAAGTCATAGTCATGAAAGAAGATTATTCAATGCTCAGGCAGAACTGGACATCAGATTCATTAAGAAAAGGTATCAGGTTCTTGCACTGTGTGAGCTGTAACAACCTGAACATCCTGAAGATTTGAAAAAAAAAAATATGAAGAACTACTATGAGAAGGTTTTATTTGTTTCAAGGGAAGTAAGGCTAAATCTTAACCTTCTGCTTAGTGGTTGCACAATCTCCAATAAGACTTCATGAGAAGAGCCAGTCACTGAAGTAGGGCTGAAGTTGCACTATGTAGTTCCATTGTCAGCAGGAGTAAATAGGTACATTCACCACAATGTCAGCTTCACACTAATGCCAGAACTGTTAAGGATTAAAACTAACAAATAAACAAACCCCACAGTCCCCATGACCTTATCTTACAGCCCAGTCTGTTTAGAATGCAAGTAGATAGCCATGAAAAACAAACAACAACAAAACACCAAAACAAACAAGAAAATAACCACACAAAACCCCCAATGTCCTGATTGGTGCAAAAAAAATATTCCATTGGTTACAAAGCATGAAGATTTCCAAGTATACTTATTCTTAAATTTGAATTTCTGGGGCAAAAACCTGCCCTCTCTCTCCTTTTGCCAGATTCTCAGACATTAGGCACCCATCTTTTTGTGGTGTTAAGAGCCTATGAACATCCAACACTTCATGGCTAAGGCCCACAGGCACTCCCAAACAGGAAAAATGCTAGTTCACAGCAGTGCACATCCCCTACTATAACAGTGTTACAATTAGAACTGGACAAGAAAATGTCTTTAAGAGAAAGGATTCGACATCAGAAGCTGTGGTCACTACTCCCGCCTGGATCTCGTGCACATGTCGTCTTCATCATATTCACCCAGCAACTGCAACATATACGTTCCAGTATAGAGCAGAAACTGGCCAGTTATTTGTGCTGCATGGGATATCAGCTGGATCACTTTCCTGGAAGAAAAGTCATTTGTTTAAGCAGAAATCACCAGCAAGATTACATTACCCCTTTCCACCCACAACATTATGATGAGTTAATATATTTAAAAACCCCTCTCATTCCTTCTCACTTCTGAGAGGGTGGTCTTTTTTCGACCTTCTTTAGAGAAAATACTTGATTGACAAAAAACTACTGACTTGTTGGCAGGATCAGAAATCACATTCAACAAAGCAGAGTGACATCCTGCTAGATGCTTACAGGCTTCTGCAAAGCCATTACTCAAACCATCACAGTACCACAGAAAACAGCTTTGCCTGGGAGCAGCATTCCTGCAGCATAAACTCACCTCATGTCTCACCTTTGTCATTCACTAATACAACCCTGTACGTATCTTCAAGCCACAGATCAAACCCGATTAGATCTGAAGCTGAACAATCAATCACATTACAGTGGGTACTCAAAAGCAAAACAGGTGAAACAGGAAAATTACTGCTGGCCAAGCTGCAAGCCTTAAGAATTCTCAGTTTACAACTATTTTATTTTCTAAAAACAAAATATATCAAATCAGCATTCAAGTATATAGTGCTGTGTAAGAATCAGATAACATCAGGTAAGCATCAGAGGTTGACAATGTAAATTGTGGATCTTCACAGGGGAAGTGATAGTGATACTTGAATGGTCATTTATTAAATTTATTTGTAACTGTATCTTCCATTCTGCAAGAAACAACAGGGACACAAATACTGAGAGCTACATTTGAGTCTCATCCCCCAGAAATTAGGAGGACACTTGAGTAGGATGCTGAGGCATTGGGAAGCAGTACAAAAAAAACTGAAACCATTCCAAAACTGGAATGGGATCAATTTCTGAAGATACAGAAACCAGATCAGTCTCTCTTCTGAAAATAAAAAATAAAAAAAAAAAAAAGATTTTCTGAATTCTTGTCTAAGAAAACATGCAGCTGTGAACCCTCTGCTATTATTCACTTGCTCTTTGAGCTTGAGCAGAGAAGGAAAAGTCTTCCTACAAATTAATTTTTAACCCCACTGTCATGAAAGGTTTGCAGTTGAAATCCAATGCCTCAGCATAGCAGAGTACCCTGTACTTAGAGCCTGTGAAGCCTTTAAAGAACACTGTACCCTTATTCATGCTTCCCACACGTGCCATTGCAGCCTGCTCTTCCTCTGCCACACAGAACAGGCCCAGGAGCTTTGCAGTTGCAAAGAAAGCTGCACCTGGTGCTGGGCTTTGGAGCAGCTGCAGCGTGTCACTTGCACACAGCAGCAGTTGCCACTTAAGCCACGGAGCAAGTTATTTGTTGAACTGGACATTCGATCCTTCAGTTGAGCACTACAGGCAAACACCAGGAGGGGAAATGCGCTAATCAGACCTGGCAGGCTTCCAGCCCCTCCCACCAGGAACAGCTGCAGCATTTTTCAGTCCTTTCCCTCCACACTCCGCATGTGGGCTCGGGGAGAGGGCATCAGAGTTAGCAATCTGGAACTCATTAGCAGGGGGACTGCACCAGGATCCTGACTTCGTCTGTCTCTGATTTCAACAGCAAGTTCAGACAGGCCATGTCACTGTTGTGTTCAAGGGTACCCAAGGTTATGTCTTCTGTCACCCTGTTCTTTGCTAGCAGACTGTCATCCCACCCTGACAGTGACATTTCCATTACAGCTCGACTCTGCAACATAACAGAGCTTCCAGAAGAACTCCACAGCTACTTCAGCTGTTTGCCAGCGCCACTCCTTTCTCACCAGCTGCCCTGTCTTGGCAGGGAGGCAGAATTGTCACTTCAAACTCTCCTTCTTAGCAGCACCAGTTCCAGTGCTGATACTCACTTTCATAGCAGGCAGTCAGAGATCAGAGTTTGTTTTGGCTCGAGAGAGTTTGACAAACATAAGAACTGGAGGACTGCAGCTGTCCAAGGGCAAACCTCTGCTTTGAAGAAACCCTAAAGAAGTCAGTGTTACAGGTGGGTGTAGCATATAGCTGGATAATCACTTCATCCTGACCAGAGAGGAATCTTGTCTCCAGCCACACCAGCTGTAGCCTGAAAGATTAAGGACCACCCAAGTAAAGTGCGAGAGGTCAGTGAGACTGAAGGACAGGGAATAAGATCAGCATTACCGTGCTAATCTGCATCAGGAGAGGAAGGACTGCTTAAAGACTTTCATCTAAAGGCCACATGTCACTCAGGACAAGTCAAAACTTCACCGATGACATACACATCTGTCTGTTAGATCTGGTCCTCAAGTAATAAAATGCAGCACACCATTGTGTCTCAACCAGTATTCTAAAAGTCAGGTAGATTAACTTGGGGTTGCAGCTTAAACAACTGTCCAACACAGCACCCCTAGGAAGGGGTCTGAACTCAAGAGTCTCCTTGAGCTGGGGTAGAACGCAGCTGATCATGACAAGGCACTCACTTTCAACTCATTGCTGAAAACAGTGAATTGGACAGGTATTATTTTGCCCCTGAATAAGACAGCTTTTCCCAACAGCCAGTTCTACCAAACTCAGAGCCCACAGCAGATCAGTCCTGCAGGAGACAGTGGTCCTTGACAGGCTCCCTTAGCTAGCCTAGAGACCACACCAGCTGGCTTAAGAACAGTGATATCACAGAGTCTTACTACAGATAACATATCCACATTAGCAGAGTAGAGGGTCATCTCTCTTCCATTTTCCTTTGCCTCCATGTAGCTCTAGTGGTGAATCTGGCAATCAGGAACTGCAATGTCTGAGCAAGCTTTAAGACCCCAGACATTAGATCTCAAATTCCTTTCATTTCATCCCCTTGAAGTCTCCTCTTCAAAGAGCTTCTTTCCCCAGCCTCCCACATTGTTCAGACAAACAAGTCAAGGAAGTGTGAGGAAATACTCTCAGCAGAACAAAGAAACCCTGCTTACACCCTTTCAATAAATACAAGCTGATTAGAGTTTTGCTGAGGCAGAAACTTTCCATCATAAAAAGCCACAGGAAGTTTTTTACCAGTCAGCTATCCACCTTACGAAGAAAGAGTCAGAATATCAGCCAGTAGGTAAGAAATAAAAATACTGATTTTATAAACACACCTGCTTCACAGAACTAATAGCAAACACAGATTTTTACATTAGCACGTACACTTGCCCAGTAGTGGAAAAACACTCACCTCAATACACTTTTTGCTCCCATGCATTTGATGTCATATGAGATAGAGTAGATCTCATAGAAGGTTGCCTTGATGTTTAAGCAGCCAATAAAATCCTTGGGGTTCAGTTTATACAGATCAAATGTGATGTTAGCTACTCCCATTTTCTTCTTTTTTCTCACAGCAACAACTCCGTTCTTTGTCTGATTTAAAAAGAGAGAGACAGTTTGTACCACAACGCAGGAAACTATAGCAAGACAATTGTTAACAGTGCTGCTCTGCAGAAGCAGCTTTGCTTATTCCATTCTTGGGGCTAGTTCTTGGTCAATTCTAAACTGGAATTAAAAGCATTAGCACACAGAAGAGGAGGTCTGTAGCTCATGAATTGTTTTTCAAGTCCTGAACAGGCTTCTGAAGTTTTTCAGACACTAAAATTCTAGAGTCACAGAGCACCTCCTGAATATTTGTTTTCTGTAGTAGGGCTTTCTCAGAGTACACTGAAGCCACAGGTAATACCACTGGACCATCTTCCTGCCATTTATTTATCCTGGTACATTCTGGTTTCTCTGGCACAGCGAGGTTAAGCCACCAAATAACCAGGATGACACCAGGTCCTTCTGCTTAGGAACACAATACAGATGAGCACGCTTGGAGACAGCTACAAAGATGACATCCGTAAAAAGTCAGGGACTCATTTCAAAACCTGGCTCACAACATCTTTCTTCCCACTAAAAAGAAACAGGGAGGGAACCACTGCTGACTAGGCCAAGGGTTTAATAATGAGATTTTAGGAGGAAAAACAAAGGAGAAGGAGCATAGAAAGTCATCTTCCACCTTAAATGCACCCTCCTCTATTGGAAGCAGCCGTTGTCTGCTGCAGGGTGTGTGCTTCGAGAAAGGAAAACCAAAATAAAACAGCAAAGAGATCCCACATTCACAGAGACATCTAGTGGATACACGGGATCCTCTGCTCAGCACATTCCACTCAAGGTTAACGACCTGGCAGCTGCCGGGCTGTTTTCTGCATGCTAAATGAAGCAATAAAGTTGTGTAAGACTGGGCCTTTTTGGACTTGACACTCCAGCCCTCAGACAGTGTCATGATAAGTCAGACAAAGTTAAACACAGCAGTATATCATTAGCCAGCAATTCTATGCCTGTTCTACTTTGATAACCTCCAAGCTCCAGCAACAGGGTCCCCTATCAACAACAGCTTTGGGCATGTATGAGCAGCTGGTATGCTTGGAAGCATCTCCCCACACCCCTCCCCATTAGCACCCAGAATATTTGGATAAAGTAGGACAGGGCTGGTGCTGCACTCCAGGTGATTGGTGAAGCTGCGACAATCCCTCTGTTGTCACTCAGCACATTCTGAAGAGGGGCTGCCTTCAAACTTGTGCTGCTGCAATACCAGACAGAAGACAGGAGCAAGGTGGAGTCACACCCTGGCTGCAATTCCTTTTCTGCCCTTGGAGCTCATGCCCCAGGTGCAGAGCTTGAAAAACCAGTGAGTTATTTGGGGGGAAATGCACAGGTTGCCCACACTGCAACAGGAGACTGGGAAAACGAGGCCCCATGATCGAGCTGTACATGTGCAGGCACAAAAGTTGTGTCCCTGCTTACAGCCAGCTCTACAGCTGGTAGAAAAAATTCTGATGCCAGCTTTTCAGCAAAAAGCATCTAATGGAAATACAGTTATGAGTTTGACTCTATGTTATCAATGTACAGATGACTATTTCCCCATAAAAGAAATAATTGAATACTGAATTTATATTATTAGAAGGCTAAAGCATGCCAGTCTTAATAGATCTTAAATATCTTGAAGCATGCAGACTAACATTAGGTTCTGATGCCAACTTCTGGCTATTTGCAAAATGAAACAAGGCCCATTTTTCTAACTATCATTAACTACTACTGCCTTCAGATGGCAGAACTTGCTTTATATTACTTTATTTGAGCATTTTTACAGTCTAAAGCTAATCTTTAATGACACTGTATTTTTTTAACTTCATGGAGTCAAAGTCCTAATTTTCTTTATGTTACAAAAAGGCTCAAAAACAAATATTTCTGAGCTTCTCCAAAGGCAGGCTATTTTCCCTGTAAGTCTTTTCAGTTGTAATGTTTTACTTCAATTCCTGATGGATTTTGCTAACAGATCTATGTACAAACAAGGGACAATAAGAAATAGGAACTTGATTTTTTCATCCAGGAAGGCTCAACAAGGAGTTTACACCACGCCTCTTGAGAGGAATTTTTCTTCCTCTTCTCCCCTCTTTCCAGCAGTTCTAACAGCCACAAACATTCCTCCATCCATTGCTACTCAGATGAAAGAGAAGTAGCCAACACTTACTGGTGTCCATTTCTGCCCATTTTCTAGAACCATGAAATGTGTATTGTCATCCAGGGACTTGAAGAAATCTTCTGTGTCCACAACTGTGCCATCTTCCTCCAATACCAGAGTAACTATTCCAGCAGTTATAAAGAAGGCATCTAAAGTCTGGGATAAAAAAAAAAAAAAAAAAAAAAAAAAAAAAAAAAAAAAGGAGATTTTAGCATTCTACAGAGCTACTAATTTAATATTGAGAGTTTGACATATTCTCCTGAACTTCCCCAGTAATGGCTTTCTAGAAGAACAAGAGTCTGTGTGTCTTTCTGGGATACTGTATTTCCCTGTAAGCTACAGGGAAGCTGTAGCTACAGTCAGAGTGGGACTATTTGCTGTACCTTGCTGAGGAGTTCTTGCAGGCTGCTTGCAACAATTCCCTTCCGGCTGCTTCGGGAGGCATTGGACACACGGAAAGGGCGCCCTGCAGGCATGAGCGGAGGGAACAGGGTCTGTCTTGTTACTGCTCCTACAGATGCTCCCATGGATACGAAAGATCTAAGACAAATAAAAATTCAACAGAGTTACATGAACAGTCGTGTCAAGTACTGCAAGAAGGAGAAAGACTGTTGATAATCACATTATACAAGTAATTCACAGATCACATTAAGACTCTTGGACCTTAATTTCAAAACCAAATACTGCATGGCCCTACAGATATGTTATCTCTCTCTTGCCCATGACATTTGGAAAGACTTAAAATTAATACAAACACCTCTAGCTCGGCTGACATCAAGGTAACAATCACAGTGAAGCTGATGGGATGTAAAACTGAATTTAAAAGGCAGCAGCTCTGACTGCATTCAATTACTTAACTCATTCTCTTTATTTACAAGGTAAACACTCAATGAGATACATAATTAGTTGAAAGCAATCTTGTGTGTTAAGATAGGGGTTTGTTTTAGGGAGACTGAACATATTACCCATATTCAAAACACCCATCAGCAGAATGCAAGCAGAGCTTTGTAATACAGTTACATGTGACTTCGAAGAGTCAAGACATTTGTTTGTAAATTATGTCTGTACCTATAAAACTCCATCTGGTTTTGAAAAACACAAAGTAAGAGGCTTGTATAAGGAGTTAAATGCAATCAAAGTTAATATCCAAGTACATAAATACATAGTGTTGGCTGCCAGCAAGGCTGGAAGAATTAAATCACTTTTAGAAAGAGATTTTACATTTTTCTGGGCAATTGCATATTCACCTTTGGTAAACCAAGCACATAACACCAGTAACAGCCTACTCCCACACCAATGTACAGATCTGTTCTCATCTACACTTAGTGACAACCTTTTCTGCCAAATCATAATGGCTAAGTTAATAGTCAGCTTGCCAAAAATGGCATTCTGCCTGACACCTGGGAAGGACTGATTGCGAAGTCTTTTAAAGGGAGGCAATATTTTGTCTCCCACTCTCCTGGACTTTACCCTCTGTATATAGCTTTGGCTCCTTCATACTGAATTGCTCAGGGGTGGGGAAGGGATGCATCCTCGTTTTGTTCTCCCACATAGGTGTAAAAAGTCAATTTTATGTAGGAAAATCTATTCTCAGACATTTTCACTGAGGGTAGAGTGAACTGCCAGCCTTTATCTGCAGCCAGAGAGTAATTATAGGACTTCATAGAACGACAATGAGATGGTATAAAGTTACTCAACTTATGATGTCCCAGTCACACCTTTTATGCAAATCTAACTGTGAAGAATAAATATCTTCTTCACACCTCTTATCTTGTTGATAAGCATATTTTTGGAATGCACAGAATGTCATTTTGTGCTTGACCAGATTCAGATTTCAGCAAATAATTTGTTTACTGACCTCATTCTGAACCACTCTTCTGGGCTATCACTTTTCCTCTAAACAATAAGTTTATACCTTCTGAAAAAACTCCTTGGCATTATTGGAAGTTTATTTTTTTTAAAGGAGGAGAATGTTCAGCAGTGTTGTTCCAGCTCATGCCCTTACTTTGTTGCTCATCTTGGCTATACAGCAAGTCCCTGGCTTTCACCATTTGGCATTTATACACACATGGCTAATGGAAACCTATGTCCTTCCTGTGACAAAGCTGGTGAGGATAAGCAGCCAGCTTGGCTTTCAAGAAACAAGCACTGTTTCATTAAAGATCTAATAAGCACTATTCCTCCTGGAAAAGGGTGAGGGCCAGGGAGGAGGACAAGAAGACAGTAGCACTGAGAAGGGCATTGAAGCTCCACAGAAGGGAAGCCTGCTAGGGCAGGACCTGTTTGTCAATCTCTCTTCTGACTAAGTTAATTGGCCCCCAATCACCCCACTGGTCGTGGGTAGCTCATATTCTGAGCACTGAGTCTCTCCCTCAGGAAGGAAGCCTGCTCATCTGCTTTGGGGCTGCTGACATCACTTCACAGGGCACCCTGATGTCAAAAAGTTCAGCACTGGGGTTTCAAGAGCTTTCACAGCTGATTACACCTCATTGCCTCTCAAATTTGAAAACTTGAGTGTAGAATAGTAATGTGAGTGATATATATCTGAGTACTCCAATTTTTTTTTTTCAAGTGAGGACAGTAAATATCAGTCCCATTGAAAATTTTCTTTCCCACTACTTAAGCCAAGCTGTCATTCACAAAAGAAAAATCGTAAGGGTAACAGCCAAAACATACATGCTGACAAAGAATGAGAAATGTTAGGGACATAGCCCATGGGTAGGACTTGAGCTAACAGGGTTCATCCCAGTCAACTTTACAAGCCATATTTTGAAGCTCAGAGCAGAAATTTCTCAAGCAGTCAGGATCAGCCACCTCACACTGCTGCCTAGTTCTATCTAAAGTCAGAGCAATAAAACAAATAGATTAATAAACCGGGGCTTACATTATTGCCACCAGACAGTCACTGAACAGGAAAGATCTTAAGAAGTTATTTAACAGTGGTTAAATAGAAGTTATTTAACAGTATTTCATCTACATTTTGATAATGTCAATATCTTTAAACTAAGCCTGGTTATAAAGAAGTGACTCTGGGCTCCAGGGCAGGTTGAGGTTTCAGCTAATGAGGAGACAAAAGGCAGGATGATGAAAAGCAGCCAGATAAACAGACTGTGAGCTCTTCCATTTCTGGGCCTGTTACTGAAAGCTTGTTTTTATTTTGTGTCCTACTCTCCTTCCTAAATCATAGGCTCAAACAGGCCAGCCTACATTCACAGCTCTTAGAAAGATCCATTGCTGTACCTGTCCTCAAAACATAGACAAACCAATTCCTGATACGGGAATTCCTCTGCTAGACTGGAGTTACCAAAAATAATTTCCTATTAAAAGCTGATCAAGCTAAGTCACGATAACAAGTGGTAGAAAGGAGCTAAGGTGCAGTTGGTTTTACTAGAAAGTTGAGTGACACGTTGAGTACAGACAAATTCACTATTGCTTTATTAATCTTTAAAGCCAAAAGGATCAAGTCCTAGCTCTTCTCTGAAGGAAGAAGGAATCCCATATCTGTGGAAAATACAAAAATATTATATAATTGAAAGATCAAATACCTTCAAACTCTAGCGTCTTACCCATTTTCTTTTGGGTAACTACAGTCTGCTAGAGAGGGATTCACAAATGCTGCTACAAGAATTCACTCTTGTGTCAAATCTGGTGGGAGAGATTAATTAATTCTTGACGAAGACGGGGGGATTAAAAGCCTGCCTTGAGCCCTGTACACATATTTCACTCTTTATCTTTGTTTGCAATATGCCCCATATGTTTGTCTAAGAATGTGGTGCAATGGTCTTCAGCCTCACTCAGAAAAATCAACGTTGCACAACACGCTCCAGGGTACGGCACGGATTGATATTTTAGGTTAGAGTTCACCGGCAACGACAGCAGCAGTAACAGCGAGGCAAAACAAGAGAAAACAGGAAAAAAAACCCCAAAAAACAAAACAAAATAGAAAAAGCTCGGAAATTAGTGAGGAGACTTAGGGTTCAGTCAGATGGCAGCGCGGTTCTCCTGCTCAAACACCAACTGTAGAGCCGCCACAAGCGCGGCCGGCAGCGATGGGTTTCGGAGCAGCGCGCAGCGCTGCAGCTCCACGGCCGCGGCCGGCTCGGTGACAGCATTACCGGGCTTGCGGTCAGCAGCCTCGGGTGCCGAGAGACCTCTGCGCTCCAAGGCAGGTTAGGCTGCAGGGCTCCCACCTGCGCCTCCCTCCGCACGGCTCCAGCCGGCTCGCAGGGCTGCGGCGGCGGCCCGACCTGCTTCTCCCACGCAGCGCCCATCGGGGCTAATTCCCCACGGCCCCGACCGCCCCCGCTGCTCCGCAGGCTGGAGCCGACCGAGGGCTGCTCAGCCTCGGGCATCCCCGGCAGCCGGAGCCGCCGGCCGGCACGGCGGAGGGGATGGAAAAGGGGCGGGAGCGGCCCCGCACTCACCGCAGCAGCGATCCCACGCAATCCCGCGCCACCTCCATGGCCCGGCCGGACGCGGGGCAGCGCCGGTCACGGCGCTTAAGTGCAGCGGGTGGGGCTCCTCCCTGCCCCGGCCCCTCCCTGCCGTGCCCGGGGACAGCCCCGCGGGGCGCAGCGCCCGCCCGCTGCCCCAGGGATGCAGCAACAGGTGCCAGGCTGGGCACGCTGTGGGAAGGGAAGTTCCTTCAGGAAGCCACTTATGGTTTACCCGGGAAAGTTTTTGTTCAGCGTGTGCGGGGGATGCGCTCTACACGTTAGCTCGTTGCAGCTCATATAGCAGTGGAAGCCAGCCTCATTTGCGACCTCCCAGCATTAGAGCAAATCAACAGATTAAGCGTCTCAGCTTCTGATTTTAGAGCCTGTAAATAAGCTTAGAGCTTGGATTAATGTGTACAGTAGTGGAGGTATTTACTGTCGCTCCTACGGGCAGGGGAGCAGTGGCTTCTGTTTACTACCCAGGAAAAAAGGCAGTGTTTCCTGTTCACGTGGACACAAGTCCTTCACAGTCTTTTTGGGCTCTGGAACCAGGTTCTATTGCTTACAGCTGTCCAGCAATTATTGTACAGGAAAAATAGAGCCAGGAGCATCAGAATCTGCCTCAGGCAACAGCCTGACCTAGGGCAAGGATCTGCACCAGGAAACCTTGCCACTCCTGATCAGGGAATGACTCCAGAAGCCCTGACCCAGGTTACCCCCAGGGTCAGGAATAGTTGGTAACTTGGTTGCCTGATTGCTTTTCCTGTTTAGGGTAGAAAGGAGAATGCAGTTTACAGTCCAGGTTTCTTTAGCAGGCAGTCTGACACCTGCTAGATGTCTTCTTCAGTCCTCAGCATTTGGAGCCTTTACCAGCTATTAAGATTTCAACTTTTTTGGTCCAGGGCAGATTACCTTCTTGGATGGCATCTTCTCTCCAGCCTGATAAATAGCTCCTTTCCTCAGAACATATTCTACACCAAGAAACTTGTCCCTGGGAATCTAAGCCCAAACTTTTAGCTCTTCCTCCTCAAGCTTCTTAGGTCTTTCTTGCAGGTGTATAGGGGTCCTTCTCATATGTTAACTCCTTTCCCACCTGTTTCCTATGGCATTTAGTTTTGTTACTCTTCTGCAGTTGGTCCCTGACAACATGACACAGAGAGCAGGAAGTGAGAGGCAGTATATAATTTTTCAGCACTGGACTCCAAACAGCCAGTTTTCCCCTGGATTTATATCTTGTGATGGATTGTGGGGCACAACTGATGTTGAGTTTGAAAAGTGATGCATTCTTAAGGAGTTCTTGACAATGTTGTATCTACTGTCAAAAACTTGTGTGTAACACTGCAGCTTTTCCTGCTGTGGAGGGAGAAAAGGAAGAAGGTGTCTTGTCAGGTGGTCTGTCTCCTCCTCTCTCTGTGGAAGGGAAGGGAGAGTGTCCCTTAGAGATCTTATGGAAATCGCAGTAACTTTAGAGGTTTTTCTGAACAGGCTGGGATAAAAATGTCTGGAGGAGGTGGAAATTTTGTTCTTGCAGAAGCTTGGTCTTTCTCTGGTCATGTGGCTCTCCCCAAAGTTCTCTGCAGAGGTGTCCAGCCAGCGCAGCCACTGCTCAGCAGCCCCCAGGGGACATGCAAGGCCTGCCACAGCTCTGAGACAGGGGCAAGGACAAGCTCCTCCAACAGCATTAGTGCTTCAATTTGCATTAGCTATTGTAACTAATACAAACACAGATGCCTAACTAATGCAAACATAGATGTACAACAGTAACAGGAAAAACATGTCCTTTTAAAGACTGTCCTCATTTGAGAAGGAGAGAAGGGTATTGCCTGTAGTTTTACAAGCTGCACAATTACTCCTTACCCCCCACCCCCCTCCTCCTTTTTCCCTTTACTGCAAGCAGCAGTAAAACCATCAGATGGGTAAAATCACTGACCTAGGAGCTGGGCTCCTGAGAAAGAAGTGTCTTTGAAAAGTAGCAAGACAGGACACAGATGGGATTTGCACAAAATGTACCGAGGAAGAGTACAAACCAGTAGCAGGTGCCAAAAGTGGCAGGCCAGGGCAATCAAATGAGATATCATTAAAAACTGATGTGACAAGACAACACCCAGTATAAAGACAATAGCTGTAAGAGGCAGACTCTTTTCCCTCTTTTACAGGAGAGAAAACAAACTGCAAACAAACCTGAGGTGAGTAGGCCAGAAAACTTAACAACATTTACTCCAGTCACATCAGGGAAAATATTAATCATGCAGGGGACAAAGTACATGGCTGATACTGAAGGGAGTGAATATTAGAGGTGGAGCTAAATAAGGATGCTAATCCCTCTTGCTAAATTACTCTCTTGCTGTCCCCTCACTGAGTGCGGTGACTACCTCCACAGGTGTTACCTTTCCACTGCAGTTCAAGTTAAACAAGTTTGGTTAAGTAACTCCTCACAGGGGTCATATTGCTATGGAAAAGGGTTTGTATCGGGCATGTTTAACAGGGAGGAGGAGGCACTTGAAATAGTTTTGCATGCAACTTCACATTGATAAGCTTGCAGTATCAGGCCAGGTTTTCCTAATCACCCTTTGAGAAAATAATGTCAAATTGGAACAAACTCAGAGGAAAGTGGGAACGATCTGACATGTAGAAGAACATGGTATATGGGCTATGTAGTTTGGGAATGGGGAAGATTGGGTGGAAACACCAATCACGGACATCAATGATTTTAGAGAACTCTCTGAAGAGGAATGGAAGAACATTTTCTTTGTGCCTACAGGGACTTGACCTGTAGGAAAGGAGAATTAGGTTGTCCATTAAGAACCTTTTCACATCTAAGGTGACTGTTAGGTGCTGGGCTCAATTGCTGACTGAAGATGTGAAGTCAATTAGACACTGACATTGCTTGGGCCAGTGGTCAAATAACACAAAGGACAAGTCCAGACACCAAGGATCAATTTGGATATTCCTTCTGTTTCTCAAGGCTCTGACAAATAATACCAATGAGATTACTGGAGAATAAAGTGCATTAATGATGCGAATTAATGAGGTGCTACCTCACCTTCCTTGGCCCAAGAGGGGAGTGAAAGAAGTAAGCAGACACATTTACAGCAGTGTTAGCAACAAAGGTAGCATGATTAGAAGGATTGGCTTAAATTTGTAAAAGCTGACCTTCTATTCAGCTTTCTGCCCTTTCCTGCTTTCAGTTAAGTCGGACCCTGATTTTTGTTAGAAGCACTCTTGTGATCACCCCTAAGCAAATTTGTTTCTTCTCCCTTATATAGAGAACCAACTTTCTATTCTTCACGTGTCCTCAAAATAACAATATTTGTTTCTAAACTGCTTTTACTATTCAGCAGATTTCTATCTCCACTGCCTCTGATTCAGTTTTATTTCTGTCAGGCTGTTTGTGTTAAAGATTTGCTTGTTCATTCTTAATATTTGTGCTAACCAATACTGCACCAACCTTTAAAGTTTTAAAGAACAAATTAGACAAGCATCCATCACAAGAGGTTAATATACAGCAGATTATTTTGAGAAAAGATTATGGAATAGATTTCATAAAGTTGCTTTTTGTTATTTTCCATCTTTTTCAGAATCTTTGCTAGTGGAACCATATTTTGTAATGAGGTAAAATTCTAACAGCTTTGCAGGAGCCACCGAGAGTTCTTGTTAGCTCTACAGGAGGGGATGAGGCTCCTCCTAAAGGTGATCTCGCTGCTCTGCATGGCTGTGTAGAAGAAGATGGGAACTTTTTTTGGGTATTGATTAAAATCCTCTGAACTTTGCTGGAAATGGTTCTGTGGCCAGCAAAGTTCCCAGTGTTGAAAGCTCTGTTTGAACTAAAAGTAAACCTTTGACTGCAGTGAAATATCTGGACCAGAAAAAAAACCTTCTTTATTCTGAGATTTCATGGGTAAGTATTTTGTTTTATTTTGTTCTTTTTGGTTTTCAATGATTTAACAGGAGGATCAAGACAGTGTTGGTGGGTGGGCACAACTTAGGAATGCTTAGGAAAAGTTGCCCTTTCAAGAATGTCTCAGGGGTGTGAAATACTTTGACACAAAAATTTAAATTCAGATGCATTATAGCTAGAAGGGATATTAAAATCCCAAGGTCAGGCTTTGCCCTTCTTTACCCCCTTTGCAATAATGAATGCATGTGTGAATGGATTGCACATATTTGTGGGCAGCATTTAGCTGAAAGCTGACTTATGGAGAACATCAGTGTGACAGAAATATAGAAAAACAGAAATATTGCCTGGGAGATTTTTGAAGATAATGAACTGGGAATTTATTATTTGTTTATTTTGCTCATGCCAAAGATAATCTCAAATATTTTATATTTCAAAAGTTGGAACGCCAAAGTTGTATAAGTTCTAAATAAAACAAAATAATTTTTCTGTTCATTAATTTCTAACATCTTTACAATTTATTATTGATTAGTGGTACTTCCCACGGGAAGAAAAAATATTCAAGAAGAAATATGAATTTTTATTTTGCAAGCATTGAAATTTTTTTTATGAGGCTTTTCATCACAAAATAAGAGGCTATCAGCTGCGGAATTGTCCCATAGCTGCACAGTCATGTTATGATTTCTGTAGCAGGGCTTGAAGCGCTTCAGACTCCAGGTAACACTCCAGAACCACTGGGCCTCAGATTGAACTGTGAGCTCATGCTTCTTTGGTTGCTGCACTAATTAATTTAAGAACTAGATTTAAAAAATCTTCTTGGACAAGGAGCATCTTTATGTCTTACATGGCATTCTTTCAAAGTTTAAAAATAACAACTATTGTACTTTGGTGTTGTCCAAAACAAAGACTAAGGCAGTAAAAGTCAGACAGGTTAATGAGTGACTTTCCTGAGGGTCCCACTGCATTTGAATCTATGTGTTTCTGCCTATTATGGGTTCACCTGTGAGCATGAACAGTCATTTTTAATGTGTGCAAGAAGAGGAACTAGATTCATAAATGCTACACAGTAATCTATGTGCATGTGAAATTTCCAAAGCAGCTCCCCTAGGAAATTTTTAAGGATCACAGATTGAAACAGACCAAGAAAAATATTGCTAGGACTTACTTCAGATTCTGCTCAGG